GATGCTGGAAAATGGTCTGACCTCTGTTTTACTCTATTAAATTCCTGACTCCTCCTTCTACCCTCTACCTTAAAAGAGTTAGATCAGAATGAAAATGAAGAATTGCTATCATATATCGACAGGGCCTTCCTAGTCATCACTTTCCAGTCTCGATAGTCCAAGAGCGTCTACGCGATCTTGTGGATGGGGAATTATTTTCATTCCTACAACTCTTTTTTTTTTTTACAGACGAAACGGTGCAAGACTCTCGCAACTCTATCGCTAGTTTTTTTTTCTTTAAATCAGAATCACCCCAAGCAAGGCAGTAATGCCGCTAAAACACAAGGGGTTACATGGCGTAGAAGAATTAGGAACAGAAACATTTTAATAATTAGCAGAAAGCGAAAACAATAATAATCTGGACAGTAGATAGCGATTGACATTGCATTTAAATTTATGAAGATTAAAGTTGGCTGGAAAGCATGGACCCGCAAGAGTGTTCCACAAGCGAGAAGTGCGAGAGAAGGAACAGTTAGCATAGAATTTACAGGTCCATCTAGCTAGCTCAATCGTATATTGATGAGATCTCGACATTTGAAATATATGGGACGCATAACGAGGAAAGGTGGTTCGGAGAATTTGACAACCACATGATATGCGTAACATAATCCGAAAGAGTCAGAGTAGAACAGCAAGTAATCTACCAAAGAATCTTGTTTGGATGACCGAAAAGGGACTTCGAGTGATAGTAAAATAGCCGAATTGGTCGAAATAACTTTGGTAAGAATTGATCAGGGAGTCCCCGGGGATTGGGTAATGGATAGCGGCTTGGATTGAGGAATCGGAGAGCCGAGTTCGAATTTAGTTTAAATCCATTACATTCCCTTACGTGCTAATATCCTTGGGAAAGGTATGAATCCTCTTCTTCTCCCCCCAAGTTATGGGTAATTGGCAGGACAGACCGGGTTCTATAGCCTTGGATGGTAAGTGGTCTACCGCAGTAAGAAATGGCAACCTACTGCGGTGAAAAAAATCTGCCACGTCAGTCAGATATCGGAAGTTATATGATTGCCTAAGCGTGTATCACGCATAGCATATAACTGACTGAAATTCACTTATGTCCTAATACCATTGGGAAAGGTATGAATCATCTTCTTCTCCCACCAGCTATGGGTAAATAGCAGGATAGGCCAGACTTGGATGGCAACTGGTTTACCGCAGAAAGAAATGGCAACCCACTGCGGGAAAAAAATTGCCTCATCACTCATGTATCGAAAGATACATGATCGCCTAAGCCTGTATCACGCATGGCACATAACTAAGTTCACAAAAAAAGTAATATATACGAGTCAAATAGGCAAATAAATTTCACAATTATCTCTCTTCCTCAAACTCAAGGACGCAACTCCTTGTCAGAAACAAAATTCCCGTTTGAATGAGCGTACCGTTCTTTTATGCACGTGACCCAGCCATCGCACAGCCAATGAGCTCCCAGAACCAGACAGTAAAAATAGGTAAAAGTGATATCACCACTACCGGCTACGCGAAGGGCTGCCCGATTCACCTTCAGTTCGAAGCTCGCCAATTAGCCGTCTTCACACTCCATTGCAAAAAGATACACTCAAATCTGGATCTTTTGGGCCGCTCAGGTAAGTGTCCGCTACAGGAGAGCTTTGATTCTCCAACGTCCTGAACAGATACGACATAGAAATAGTTTGTATCCTAAATGTATTTGTTATCGCTCTATTATATTTCATGGCAGACATTTTTCCGAATATGTTCTATCTGCTTGTGACAAAGCCGTTCTAAGCATACTCATAAGATGAGTTATTCTCAAAGGAAATGACGCAATTTTAGTGGCGAATTTTTTTTTCTTCCTTTTACACATTTGCCTGGATAACAGTTAAAGTGTTGCCAGATTTGGAAACTTTTTGGCGACATTAACTTTGCGAAATCTTAAAAGAATGAGAAGATAAACCAGAATTTATTATCAGAGGACATAATTTTAGCAGAAGATAAGCGAATGACAGTGTTGATGGAAAACGCAGAAGGAAAAGTAAAAAAAAAAATCTTACGCAAGATTTTTATTAAAACAAGAAAAAATACAGAACGGAGAGAAGGCAAACAGTCAAAAGTATGGTTGTCAGTTAAAGAGACAGTAACAAAGTTAGAGATATGCCGCCTGTAACAACAAAATTGTCGAAATCGTGTAACAGCATAATTGTCCGTTCCCCAAAATGTTTTCGTCCTGAGTAAGACGTTAAACTACATCTGCGTCTTAGGTAAGACGTTAAACTACGTCCAGCAGCAAGGCCTCTGATCAGGAGGTTTTGAGGAGCGTGGAACGCCCTCGTAATTGCTGGTGTTCCCAGATCCACCCTGACCCGGGTTGGTAGCACCTGTTAGGGTCCCAGCTATGGGCAAAATAGTTAACTATTACCAGCAATACTGTTTTGAAAAAAATATTACCAGCAATACAATTTTGAAGGAAAAATATTACCAGAAACAGATTTTTGACAAAACAAATTATTACCAGCAATAAAAAAAATGTTGTCGGCATTAAATAACCCATTGAGGTTGATATGCCGTAAAAGAAAATAAACCAAACCAATCTAAACTAAAGAATATATATTCTATTCATACGAATCTATCCTAAAAATGTTGTTGGCATTAAATAACACATTGAGGTTGATATGCCGTAAAAGAAAATAAACCAAACCAATCTAAACCAAAGAATACATATTCTATTCATACGAATCTATCCTAAAAATGTTGTCGGCATTAAATAACCCATTGAGGTTGATATGCCGTAAAAGAAAATAAACCAAACCAATCTAAACCAAAGAATACATATTCTATTCATACGAATCTATCCTAAAAATGTTGTCGGCATTAAATAACCCATTGAGGTTGATATGCCGTAAAACAAAATAAACCAAACCAATCTAAACCAAAGAATACATATTCTATTCATAAGAATCTATCCTAAAAATGTTGTCGACATTAAATAACACATTGAGGTTGATATGCCGTAAAAAGAAAAATAAACCAAACCAATCTAAACCAAAGAATACATATTCTATTCATACGAATCTATCCTAAAAATGTTGTCGGCATTAAATAACCCATTGAGGTTGATATGCCGTAAAACAAAATAAGCCAAACCAATCCACAAAATGTTTAATATCTAAAAATACACTAAACTAATTGATATTCTTTTTTCCAGACTTTCAGATAAAACCTTTAGCCATCTTGACACTATTTTTCATAAGAATCACTGAAAACCCTTTGAGTTATTCTGCTAAAAAAAAACAGGTTAAAATCGTTTTGTCTCAGCACTATTGTCTTCCCAATGGTGAGGCGAAAAAGATCATTCAGACCTTCAGTAATTGTATCAAAATTCATACCCTGTCTTCAATCCTGAAAGTCCATTCAGAGACCGGTGACTAAGTTTTAAATGGGAACATTAGAGAGGAAAACTGGATCAGGAGGTCAAGACAAGCAGAGGGATCATCATTTCGACTTACAGCTAAACAGATCAATTAGAAAAGATCCAACTCAATCTATAAGACGTTTGGCACAGACGAGAGGAGTTTCAGCTATGACAGTCCAAAGAACTACAAGGAACTACCGCTTTTACGGATATATATTTTGCACCAGGTTTGGTCTTCTACTCAATTTAGAATAAAGAGGGCCATACTAAATTCTGGTTGTAAAATAGAAAGTATTTTCATAAAAGATCTACAAAATCTTTCCGCTAGAATTTTCTTACTTTGTGTGAGGTATAATGATTTATGGCATGAATGAGGTGACACATTCCTATTTTGATCTGTGGAGGTTCTCTCGTTATGTAGGATTTGTTCATGACAGGGGTTGTCATAAATTAGCTATTACGCTAGAAAAATATACTAACATTTTTAAGACACAAGAGGTATGGTTGCATGATGGAACCGAATATGAAGGATATTATTTTTTAATTATTCTTCCTATCAATTGTTTGAGTTGAAATCCTTTGTTCTTGCTCGTGGCTTCGAATTTTGTGTACCACTCTTCAGGCCAGACAAAGAAAAGATTTTTGCCGAATTTGAGGTGCTGTTCTTGCAACTTGTAAAACATGTCCCATTTTCATCTGATCCTTTTGGTAACCTTAAAACCAAATTAAATAATGATGCTCGCCTGTTCGCTAGTACTCTTCTGAAACTAAATGGAAAATTGAGCACATGCGTATTATAAGATATCTAACCGTGATTTGATGATTTCTAGGCGCGATAAGGGGGGTTGTTTTAATGGACGACACTGATTATGTTACTAAGATGTTATCAATTCTAAATGATACATCGAAATTTATAAAATTAGACCCTGTTGAATAATTTGATACAAACACTTCAATGGAAATAAAATTCCAGAAACAACTAGTGACGGATAAGATCAGAAGAGGGCGATAAAAATAATCGCAAAGTATTTATAGTGCTGGAGAGCGTCCCCTAGTAACGGTTTCAAAAACTAGGAGGTAACCTGCTGCTACCGTCAATTTTGGCAATGTTCATTGCTTTAAAAAGCGCTTATTAGAATTGTAATAAAACCTAAACATGTGAAAGTGAATTTATACATTTTCTTTCATCTTGAGAATTCACAATAATAATAATAAATACTAATTGACGCTTTTTAAAACAATAAACAAGAATGAATGTAGTTAAAAAGGTAGTGCCATACGAATAATCGTTATCGATATAAATATATGGTAGGAAATTATTAATCGATTCGGAAGTATAAATTCATAGTATCGAATTATTTGTGGGCATCAATTTTAAATCTCTGACATGGATTAAAAAATATTTAAAATAATTGACAATTAAAGAATTATAAGAAGAATTTTCAAAGGCGAGAAAGACACAAGTAAGCGAAAGAAGAAAAAAGAAAGAACGAAAGGGACAAAAACAGAAAGAATGGACAAAACGGAAAAAAAGAGGGAAAAGAAAGGGAAACAGCCAAGAAGACAGAAAATCGACAGAAAAAAGAACGAAAGATAGAAAAGAAGAAAAAAAGAAAAGGAGAAAGAAATAGTGAAAGGATGAAAGAAAGGGCAAAAGAAAGAAAGGCACAGGAAGAACGAACGAAAGTAAGTCGAAAGAAAGATAGAAAGAACGAAAGAAATAAAGAGATAAGTGACAATGAACAAAGAAAGAAAGGGCAAAAAGAAAAGGCTAAATGAAATAGTGTGAGAAAGAACGGATGAAAGAAAGAAAGCCCAAAAGAAAGAAAATCCAAACGAAAGGGATAAAGAAAAAAAAAAGACAAAGAAAGAAAGACAGAAAGAACGAACGAAACAATGTCAAATGTTGAAGAAAAGAGAAAGAAAGAAAGAACAAATAAAGAAAAGGCAAAAGAAAGACAGACAGACAAAAAGAACGAACCAAAGAAAGTCGAAAGAAAGACAGAAAGAACGAAAGAGATAAGTGATAATGAGCAAAGAAAGAAAGGGAAAAAGAAAGGTTAAATGAAATAGTGTGAGAAAGAAAGGATGAAAGAAAGAAAGCCTAAAAGAAAGAAAGTCCAAACGAAAGGGATAAAGAAAGAAAGAAAGAGTAAACGAAAGACAGAAAGAACGAAAGAAAGACAAATGTTGAAAGAAAGAGAAAGAAAGAAAGAAAAAGAAAGCAAAAAAGAAAGAAAGAAAGAGGGAAGGAAATGAGTGAAGAAAGAAAGGACAAAAGTAAAAAGAAAGAAAGAAAAGCGTTGTCATGCGAATAATCGTTGTCGATATAAAATTATAAATATATGATAGGAAATTATTAATCGATTTGAAGTATGAATTCCTGATATCGAATTATTTAAAAACATCCTTACAATAATTGTAAATTAAAGACATATAAGAAGAATGTACATCAATTGAACTTTATAACTGGGAATGAATTATTTATTCATAATGAGGCAATTATTAACCGTTAGATATTTCGATAATAAGTAATTAAGAGAGTGAAATATAAATAATGATATTGAAGCATAAGTTCAGGTTGGGAAATTATTTATAGATAAGAAAGTATTAATTTATGATTAAGGATTAGTCATTGATAAGGAATTATGAATTCATAAGAGGATAGTATCGATAAAGATTTGTAAATTCATCATAGGGAATTAAGTATTTGTCAATACGAAATTATAAATTTATAAGAGGATAGTATCGATAAAGATTTGTAAATTCATCATAGGGAATTAAGTATTTGTCGATACGAAATTATAAATTTATAAGAGGATAGTATCGATAAAGATTTGTAAATTCATCATAGGGAATTAAGTATTTGTCGATACGAAATTATAAATTTATAAGAGGATAGTATCGATAAAGAATTAAGTATTTGTCGATACGAAATTATAAATTTATAAGAGGATAGTATCGATAAAGATTTGTAAATTCATCATAGGGAATTAAGTATTTGTCGATACGAAATTATAAATTTATAATAACAATTATTACTATTATAAAGATCGTAATACAGTAATAAGGTAGGCCGTATTTCAGTGCGGCAATGCGTACGACTCAACCGCTACGCCTTGCCAACCACTTTGCGGCGACTGTTCAGATAAGCAGACGTATGGACGAGTCCATTTTTAACAATTACTGTAGAGAAGGTTGGTTGTTTTTCTACACAACAATTAAACGACATAAGATTATAAGGAAGATAATAATAATAATAATAATAATAATAATAATAATAATAATGAGCATCCTGGGTAAAACGAAAAACTACATCCAGCAGCAAGGCGTATAATCAGAAGGTTTTGAGGAGCATAGAACCACCTCTTAATTGCTGGTGTTCCCGGATCCACCCCGACCCGGGGTGGTAGCACCTGTCAGGGTCCCAGCTATGGGAAAATAGTTAACACCTCAACGGGGCTCAAAACGCTATGAAAGTATAAAAATAGTGTTTAATATCAGCAATACGTTTTTGGAAAAACTATTATCAGCAATACATTTTTGGACAAAAATATTACCAGCAATAAAAATTTTCTCGAAATTAAATGACCCATTGACGTGTTGACATGCCGTAAAACAAACCGAACCATCCTAAACCAAACCAAACCAATCCATACCAAATAAATTCAAACCAAGCCAAAGCAAATCTCAAAATAAGTTTATAATGGGAAAATATCTGTAGAGAAGTAACATTTCTTTAATAAAGTTTATAATAATTGGAAACTATAATTTTATTTTCGGAAATTATTTAATTAAAAGAAATGTTAAGCGATAGGAAATTTTAGATTTATGATAGGAAATTATTTATCACTTCAGGAAATTATTAATTAATAATAGGATATCATTAATAAATAGTAAATAATAAGTATAAATTAATAAGACATTATTTACGGATTGGAAAGTAAAAGATTATAACAGGTAATTATTCATCAATAGGATATCCAAAATTTATAATAAAATTATACATCGATCATAAACTATAAATTTAAGATAGCAAATATTTCTCGACATGTCTACATTTAAGATATGTATCCATTTATCGACAGGAAATTAATTATAAATGTATAATAAGAAATTATTACCCAATGTAAGATAGTTAGAAAGCTAATAAAAAGTTATAATAGGAAAATATCTGTAAAGAGATACAATTTTATTTGATGAGAAAATTAATAATAATATATATTCGGAAATTAGTTAACGAATGGCGAATATGAATTTATAATACGAATCGGAATGAATAAATTTATTATAGGGAATTATTTATCGTTCAAGGAAATTATTATTTATTAATAGGACATTATTTAATAGAAAATTGCAGGTTGAGGATTAAACATAATATAGAAATTCATCAATAGGAAATCTTAAATTTATAATAAAAAACTATTCAACGAGATTTAGCGATTTAGGCATTATTTTCAGATCTTAAATTTCTACTATAGTATAAATTTAAAATAGAATGTACTTATGGAAATAATTTCTAAATTTATGGATAGGAAATTATAAAATTATATTATAAAAAATATTTATTGATACTAACATATATATATATGATAGGAAAATTTATAAAACAGATGAATTTATTGACAGGGAATAATAAATTATAATAAACATTATTCAAGGACAGTTACGTATAAATCCCTGATAGGCGAATATTTATCGGAATAAAGTATAAATTAAGGACTGAGATATATTATTGAATGCAAATATTATAAATTTATAATGGAAAATTATTAATGAATATCAAATTAGACATTTATAACATGGCTACTCTATAAGTCAGTCACAAATTTTATTTTCGGTGATTACAAATATACTCTAAGGAAACACCAACTTTAAGAGCATTTAGGACTATACGGAAGTGATGCTCAACATCTGACAACTTATTAACTGGAATTTAGTGGGCCCAATCTCTTACCATAAAATCAACACGTTTTCTTATAATAATGTTGATAATCAGGACATTTCAGTCAAAATATTCTTCGTTTTTATTAGAGTAGTTATTAAAATGGTTTTTTTTTGTAGTATGTTGGTACTTTCAATCAATCATTTTTATAGAGCCGCAAATTCTTCAAAATAAGAGTTTGGAAATCCTCGAAGATACAATGATTAATATTCAAAACCCGACTTTGAAAAAGAGGGAAGTGGGAAAAATGATAAAGTAAGGCAAAAAAGACTTTATATATAGAAAATAAAATGAAATGAAAAAAGCAGACGAGTAAACGTATCTGAAACTTAGAAACTACAACGTAACAAAATGCGTGAAAGGAGATTTATAAACAAAGCTGAGAAAGACGTACGTAAGCAAAAGAAGGAAAAAGAAAGAACGAAAGAGACAAATACAGAAAGAATGGACAAAAGAAAGAAAAGGAAAAAAGAAAGTGCAAAAGAAAGAAATAAATAGTGAGAAGATGAAAGTATAAAATAAACAACAAAAGAATGAAGGACAGATAGAAAGAACAAAAAAAAAGTCGAAAGAAATACAGAAAAAAGAAAGAGATAAAGAGAAAAGAGGTAAGGAGCAAAGAAAGAAAGGGCAAAAGAAATAATGAGAAAGTGAAAGGATGAAAGAAAGAAAAGCCAAAAAAAAAAAAATAAAATGAAGTCCAAAAAAAGGGACAAAGAAGGAAACGGGCAAAGAAAGAAAGAAAGAAAGAAAGAAAGAAAGACATTCACAAAAGGACGAAAAAAAGCAAAAAGTTGAAAGAAAGAGTGAAAGAAAGAAAGAACGAAAGATAGAGACAAAGAAAAGCGCAAGAAGAAAAAAAGGTCAAAAGTAAGAAAGAAAGAAGCAGAGAGAGAAAGAAAAGATGAAAGAAAGAAAGGGAAAAAGACTGAAATAGTGAGGGAAAGAAAGGATGAAAGAAAGATTGAAATAGTGAGGGAAAGAGAGAATGAAAGAAATGATGAATGAAAGAAAGGACAAAAGAAAGAAATAGAAAGGGAAAGAAAGGATAAAAGAAAGACTGAAATAGTGAGGGAAAGAAAGGATGAAAGAAATGATGAATGAAAGAAAGGACAAAAGAAAGACTGAAATAGTGAGAGAAAGAAAGGATGAAAGAAATGGCAAAAGAAAGAAATTCAGATAGAAAAATCAATGAGGCAAATCAATTGCAGGCGTGAATGAATGCGGCAAGTGAAGACGTTATCAGACGATCCGAATGAAAATTTATGGAGATATGACATAAAAGCGACGTCGAAGGTGACCTGAATGTAACCGCTTTGTGAAATTATGCGCTCTGATGTCCAAAAAGCACGAAAGAAACAGAGAGACTGAAGAGAATGTAGTTAAAAGGCCGCGTCTTTGAGCACATTTCATGTTGCTTGGCAACAACATTCGCGCCCAAGCTGGCCTTATGTAGACGAGGCATCACAATGACGACAACACAATGGTCAGCGTTTGGCGCCCGGACTTTTGACATCCTACTGCGCGTAAGCCGCACTTGTTATTCACAAACGGCTATATAGCAAACAATATTTGAATGTTCTAAACCAAAACAGAAATAATAAAAAAAGGATATTGCGCCGTAAAAGTTTGTCTTGGAATCGATACATCAGCGAATTAGTCCTATATATTACGCAAAGTCGAAGTTGGTTTAATTTATTTAGTAAAATGAATAGAAACGTGTTTTATTATAAATTTACTGCACAGTATACTTTCTTATTATAATTCTGTGTTTCGCCCTTCGTTAGTTCGCGCGACCGTTACGTCCGGCCAATACTTCATAAATTGTTGACTATTCCGTTTTCTTGGCGTAGAAAGATGTAAAAGACATATCAGAGACGCTATTTGGTTTCACTGAAAGAAAGAAAGAAAGAAAGAAAGAAAGAAGTGTTTAACGTCCATTATCTCTAAATTGCTGTTGTACCCAGGCCCATGCTAACCCGGGGTGATGGCATCTGTTAGTGTCCCACATATAAGACATAACGAACCTCCAAACAAAAACAAAAGACTATGAAAGTATAAAAAATAGATTTTTATATTAAAATTACCAGCAATACATTATTATATAAAAATATACCAGAAATGAATTTCTTGTAAAATTGTCAACAATATATATTTTTAGTAAAATGATCAACAATACAATTTCAAATTACCACCGAGGTCTTTGTTCCTACAAATGCCGTAAGATTATTTGTAAATATTGAGATAATCTAAAAAACCGTTTTGCACGTTCCAGACAGCGTATCAAGATAGTGTGATCAGGAAAAGAAATCGTACTATGAACTCTGAACTCTGAATTAGACCTTCTGCTGTACCAATCTGGACT